AAATAAGAATGACCAACGCCGATATGAATGCTTAGTTTTAGGAAAGGGCAAATCATACTTTGTAAAAAAACAAAACTCTGATTCAAACATAAATTTTAAAACCTATATCAATATGGTGCTTTATTCCTTACTTATTTGTACGTTTGAAGGTATATTTTTCTCAACAATCAATCGGTATTCCTATGGAAACCAGCAGTGCTCCGGCTCGCTACGATTTGTTTAGAGAGGCAGACTGCATACAGTAGATTCTTAAGATAAAATAATAAAAGCTTTAATTAACCTTAAACTTCACGTTTAACTCTGAAGATGATACTTTTTACTTAATAATCTAAAGTTTGCTAACTATGCTGATCGGATCTATCACATTGAACTTTGAAGAAAGGACGTCAACTCTTTGAAAGTTCCACGGACGCAATAATTATTTTGGTGACCGTTATCGAATATCGATGTCATAGATTACAAAGGATTTTTTTCACTTGTCGTTGCTACTTTCCCATCCTTTTTACCACAATAGAGACATCATCGAATACGACTTAACTGTGTAGTATTTTCTGGACTATTGTTTGTCTTTGTGTCTTTACTCACAATAAGTAAATCGACGGATGTCACTTGTGGAACAGGAACTACTTACCCTTCAGAGGACATGATATTACCGTAGTTTTGTTTTAAATGGTTTCTTGGTGTTTCTGATTGCGCTTTCAGTATCGTTTTTTTATCCAATTTCATTTTAAAATGTCATTGCTTTTTCAAATGGTATATCAGTCAGATCTTTCCTTTGTCCCTAAAAACGCTCAAACTTTCACAAGAGTTATTGAGATGACTGAAGGTTAATGAATTTAGTGATTTTTTGTGATTTGATTCGCTATTGTGTGATGATTAATCACCGGATATGACTCATTATCTTAAACTAATAGAAGTAACACATTGGATGTCATTAGTTCAATCTCAATATTTTGTATATTCTAGTCATTTTTACGGTTCTGATATGTTATTAGCACTACAATACTTCAATAAACTTTGACTCATAAAATGTCAGAAAGCAAATGTTTTGCGTGCAAATGTCAACATTATACCTTTCCCTAAGGCTGAAATATGTATACCTGCAAAACATTTAACAAAAAATATATCACTAAGGTATAGGATATACATGACACTTAGTTTGATATCAAAATTTACTTTTCTTCCTGATGAAAACCATTTTGGCTGGTGGCAAAAGAATCTCTTCCGTTTCATGTAAATGTTTTTTCTAGTCTAATATAAAGAGATCTTTTTAGATTTTTTCACAGAAAGGATCTCTGCCGGATAAAGGTATCAAGGTACATACTGTATTACCGCATAAGCCAGATCTTTTAGTTGATAAAACTTTTGTGAAAAAGATACAAAGAAACATTGATTGCAAATTTTTCTATTGGTAAAAATGGTAACAACATTGATAACATAAATAATAATAATAATAATAATAATAATAATAATAATAATAATAATAATAATAATATCTCGCAATGGTGGTAAGTCGTGCACTTAAGTCCATTTTTTTTTCTGTACACTTAGCTTTTTTTTTATTACTGTGTATTGTCAAGCTTGGTTACTCGTAATTGTTTCTCAGTCACTGAATGCACGATGTTGTTCCATACTGCAGCAGCTGACCCGGTTTGTTTACATTCAAATTCTAATGGCTTCAAAACCACGTGACACATTGAATCGTTATATCCAATCAAATTGCTCTACTGTCAATTAGGTGATTTTTTAGTACAAGGCAATTATATTATTTGTTTGTATGATATTGCTTTGAAATAGTTAAATTGGGGGTTTATTCAATAGGAAACCTCATTATTAGCCATGAAATTTGACATCAATGGAATTTTATATGAATATTTACTTATGGTCAGAATATCGATCTCTTTATATTGAACCAAATTTTTGTTCATGAAAAATATATGTATATTGTTTTTTATTAACCTACTCTATATTCTTGAACAAAATATGGCATGATTGTCGTTTGTTTCCCAAAGTTTTTCTTTCAATTTGGATGGGTTTTTTTCGCCGGAAAATCGCGTAAGACGTAAGGTGCTTGCCATTTTGAAATTCTTAAAAATACGATTTGCTTGGCCTGGTTGGTCTGCCATTAAGATTGATGACGCTTAATGGAATGTAAACAAAGCAATGGAGGCCGGAAGAGGGATTTTCTGAAGTTCTGGAATGTTTTTAGGCATTCGGAAGTCAGGTTTGAAGCGGCCATTAGAAAATTGGCATTTTTGTACAATACTTTAGAATAACAATGAAAACATATCTTTAGAAATGTTTGTTTATTTAGAAGAGTAGAAAAAATGTATTCTGCACTAATTTTGTACGCTGGAATGAGCGTAGTGACGTCAATGCGGAGTTTTCCCGTGTGATAAGTACAATAACAAAGTCCGAACGAACCGACATGATGACCGATTATAGACTACGGTAGGATAATAATAATTATAATAAAAATGATGATGATGATGATGATGATGATGATGATGATGATGATGATGATGATGATGATGATGATGATGATGATGATGAATAGTCAAATAAATAAATAGATTATTTTATAGATAAACAAATGAGCGACATAGACGCGGATTTAAATTTTGACAGTTATTACGTTTGCGCAAGCAAATGGTATTACGTTTGCGCTAATTCATCCGTAATTAACAGGTTTTTAATCTGTGTGTTTATATGAACTTTTCAAAACTTTTGTTAAAATAACTTTTATCCATAAATACATTAACGAGGAAGTTTTAATTTGTTTGAATAAACATTAAAAAGCAGGTCCTGACCACCAAACATCAGGTAAGTCCGCCAATTTTGCTTGTAGTGGTATTCCTGCTTTCCAACTGATAATTTGTAGAGGGTATTTTTTATGCTGTCTGGTATTCAGTATATGTTCTGATTACAATGTATATCAATATTTAAACATGGAACCATATAATTTTTGGGGAACTGGCCTTAACTTATAATAATTAAACCCACATGTATTGAAATAATTGATAGCAGGACAACCAAATTTTCCCTTGGACCACCAGCTTTGTAGTCTTTGTGACCAGAAATTTTCATGGGTTTTTCTCATTGTTGAAGGCCGTATGGTTGCCGATAATTGCTTACATCCACTTTATTTGAACTTTGGTGGATAGTTGTCTCATTGGCAATCATACCACATCTTCTCATTTTTATAATTAGTATACAAAATATTGACATGAACGATCAGTTCTTATACGACAATTCCATGCAAATAATTTTCTTGGTGTGTCTCCATTTTCTGCACTGAATCTACACATACAGAAGGTATATCAATCGAATATCAAGGATTTTTCCTACTTTTTGTATTGCAGAGATTGAGAATGCCATCTAAGATGTTGATTTCCACCTTGTTATTTCAGTTTATCCATTTAACATTTTAATCTTCTTCTATTTTATTTTAGAAATCATCATTTGTATATAAATAATAAATTATTAAGTTAAAGTAAAAACATGATTGCATCTTATATGAGCTTAGAGCAGCGGACTAAAGGTTAGCGTAAAAGTAGAGTATGATTCTTCAGATTCAAATGAGAACACATAAACTCGAAATATTGTTGAAGCCTTACATAATATTCAAACATCTGACATATTTTAAACCATTCAAATGGTTATATGTTTATAAAAATGCATTATCCTTTTTTGGTTGTTTGTAATACTGAAATGATTGGTAGCTATATATAGTTGAGAAAGCTTTACGGACGCAATTGTTATTTCGTTGACCGTTATCGAATACCTATGTCATAGATGACAACGGCTGTGTTTCACTTGTCGTAGACACAAGCCCATCTTCTTGTCTTCGATAGAGACATCATCGAATACGATTGATCTCTGAAGTATTTTGTGGACTTTTGTTTGTCCTTGCGTCTTTCCTCGTAAAGAGTGAAACAGAAACTGTTTACCCTTCCAGAGGAGATGATTTCACTGTAGTTTTGTTTAAAATGGTTCGTCTTGATTCTTTTTGTTAGAAAATTAACATGACTGATGGTCAAGGAATTTGGTGATGTTTTTGACTTAGATCAGAGAGACTTGATTCGCTATTGTGTGATGCTTAATCACCGGATATGACTCATCATCATAAAATAACAGGATGTCATTAGTTCAATCTCTAGCGCAGAGATCATATCCGTTCCGTTCCATACTACGTATTACCTCACTAAATATTAGTTGAAAAGTAAAATAACTAGAATACCGAACTCCAAGGGAAATTTAAAACGGAAAGTCCTTCATAAAATGGAAAATCAAAAGTTCAACCACATCAAACTAATGGAAAACAGTTGTCATATTCCTGACTTGGTACAGGCATTTCATTCTGTAGAAAATGGAGGATTAAACCTGGTTTTATAGCTAGCTAAACCTCTTACTTGTATGACAGTAGCATAGAATTCCATTATATTGACAACAATGTGTGAGCAAAACAAACAGACATAATAGCTAAACATGTCAATATTGCAGAGCACGTACGTTACAGATAAGAACTCTTAAAATTTTGATTAGGACACATCTTTTGTTTAAAGTATTGATGCGGAAGAATAATCTTGTTATATTATTTCCACTGGAACAAATATTACAGTATTTGTTCCTTATTGAATAAAGGGCATTGTTTATATTAAAGTTTCCACGGGAACCTCTGTAAGGTGGAACAAATATACATTGACAAGTTTCATCTCATCGAAAATCAAATTGTTGAAGTTCGATGGAGTGTAGACAAAACCTATATGTTGATACCATCAGTAATACGGTAATGAAATGCCTTTAATTAACAAAAGATCACATTACTCTTTTTTAATGTTTAAAGTTTTTCATGTTTCACTTTTATTAAGATAAAATCATATGACTGTTTTTAACCGTATGAAAAGTTTAAAGATGTTCAGGTTTCTTACGAATGTTTCTTTATTTTTTTTTTTTTATTTTAGAATGGCGTTGTTAGATAGAACTATCCTGCTCACAGTTTTAGGAATAGTTATCTATTGTTCTGTTCCTGTTTCGTCAGGTCAAAGTCACTACTCTCACGGTGGTTATGGAGGGATTCGCAGGCATGGCGGGACTCTAACGCAAGTGATACCCGTACCTTATTATGTTCGAATGCCTGAAACACGACGAACAGGTGGAATTAGAGTACTGCAAACCGGCGGTAGTAGTGTTGCCGGTAACACTGGTGGCAATTTGTTTGGTGGTGGCGGTATCGGTGCATTGCTTGGTTTACTAATTTTTCTACCGTTATTGATGATGTGTAAGTATGTCTATCACACATTATGTACAGTCGTTTATTCTTTAAGTTAGTAAATGCTTTGTTTTTTTTTCATTCCTAAAAAAAATTCAAAATGGTTGCTTTCAACATCTGACTGTAGTGTCGAGTAAGAGACGAATCAATGACAATTATTTAAAACGAAATCTGTAAATTACCGGTGTACTCGAACACAAAGGCATGAAAAAGAATTAATATGGCTGTGATTAGTATGGTAGTAAATTACGTGCATTAGCTATCAATACCACATAATAGGCATACCCTTCCCCCTCTCAGGTTTATATTACAACTATGAGTCGGTTCTTTCCACCTTTTTCAAGCTGTAGATGGCAAAAATAATTTCGAAAGCTATTTTTTAAGAAGGTAGCTAAAAACGCAATACTGTTGTAAAGTTTAAAAAGATTAAACATTAGAGTCACGTGCAATTAAAGCATCTTGTAGTCTTGTAATTTGGATAGTATTTAAAAGTAAGTAATTAAGTAATTAAGTAAGTAATGTTAAAGTAAAATAAAGGCTGAATTTTGATCTTTTTTCAAGAACAGCATAAACTAGTGTATTTTCGGTTCATTACTCAGTGTTAAGTTTTTGTGTTTTGGTTTATTTTTTTATGCCCCCGCTGTAGCGGTGGGGGCAAAAATCTATCGTGTCTGTGTAGGGGGAAGTGTCATTTATACCCCCCTTACCCTCTCCCAACCCCATTGTCAATGTCCACTCCCCTTCTAAAACTATATTTTTTCAAGAAGTTTAGAATCAAACAATTTATTAAAAAGAAAACCAAATTTATGAAATACCGCAATAATACAGCAAGCAAAATTCTAAATCCCTTTTCGACTCAACAAGTTATCCCAGTAAAATTACAAGCATTGGTATATTGTTAACGTTCCCCTATAAGAATGATAACCTTTTCATTGAATTCACATAGAAACATTGAACCCTTAAGTCTAGATTGTTTCTACCGAACCGATGCATTGAAATGAATCTGATGACAATTATCAATGAGTAAATAAACATATCCATATGTTTGTTATGTGTGTCTTGAAATTTGCATGTGTTGAGTTACAAAAACACATAGGAAAGATAAGAAACATTCATTGTTTGCACATTTAATGAAATCATAAATATCTATTCTCATTCGTCTGTCTAACAATTTAACAAAAATATGAATAAGGAAGATGTGGGGTATATGTTGATGAGACAGCAATCAAACAAAACCGAACCAAAACACAATAAATAGACCAGCCGAGGAAACAAGAAAAGAACGCCGACCACCAGCAGGAAAGATGACAATCCTAAGGAATTAAAATTGGAATCGAACACACCTGCCACGTGTAGGGTTCCAGCTCACAATAACCTCAGTATTTAAAGACTGTTAATACAGTAGGTGAACTTCTTAGACCACTCGTCCACCTAGTCCCTGTAAACGCCAATGAGAAAAGAACCCAAAGATACAGATAAAATCAAATGGTTTGTTTTGAGCGTTCCTGATGAAGGTAGCACTCCACAGTTAGAAAATAAAATTAAAATTGAACCACAAAATGTTTTATCATCTTCTATTCCTGGTTTTCTAATACATTAAGCCACCTGTTTGTGTCACACATGTGCATATGTATGTAATCAGTATCTTCCATAGATTTAATTTTCAAAAGTTAAAATGGTGAAAAATAATTCCTTTTTTGTGTATCCATGGCAACATTCTACATTTATCTATCATAAAATATTGCAAAAAGGGGCATGAAAATGTCACATATTCCCCCAAAATTTGGTTTAAACTGGATGCCTATGAGTGATACCTTTTCTGAAACTGTTGACGTTAATCTACCAAATGATCAAATAAAAATTGGGTGTCTTTCGCCTCATTTTTTCGTAAAATTTAATCACAAAGTTCGTGCGACAAAAAGTTAGAAAAAAAACAATGCAATAATTGCCGGACCGATGTCTGGTATGGATATGAAAATACGGACTGTCATACAGAAAACATCCCATAATACATGCATTACACAATCTAGATGTTCCTATAAACCCACTTTGAAGGCTATATTAATCTTCAGCTATCCAAAAATGAATTTTATTGCACACTAGCTCTCATATATGAAAAATCCACAGGGGCCAAAATGCGAAACTACATGTACACACCTAACTGTGGAGTGCTACCGAAGGTAAATCCGAAAAAGCGCTTCAGACGTTCGAAATTTATTTATTAAGTGTTATTTTCATCAACAAAATGTACTAGCACTGGGTCGATACCACTGCTAGTTGACTGTTAGTTCCCCAGGATATTATCAACTCAGTAATCAGTAATCAGTGTATCCGTACTGACACGATTTACAACATATTTTTCAAAAATTCCACGTTGATGATATATTGAGTTATAAGAAATTTTACCTTTTAGACCCTTTTGGTCATATAGCTACAAACGGTTCTACGTTTTTATACATTCCTGGCTTTCAAAGGTGGTGGTTTTAGCGTTCCCAGTGGAAGCATATTCAGAAAAGCACGAAATTAATAAAGAGTTATTTTCATTTAACGAACAGACAAGTGTATTTCGCTTACAAAAATCATGCCGTGCTGAAAATCGCCCGAGAATTTATTAAGATATAAAGAAATAAAACTACCCGACAAGGTACATTCTTAATACAGACACATGAATCTGTAACGGAGTTATATCTTGAGTCAAAAGGTGTTTAAACTATTTGCCATGATGTTAATCGTCCTGAGTCTATACAACTTGCACGTTGTTTTAACATACTTCCAAAAATCAGCCATTTACACCAAATTCTTTACAGGGTCTGGAACAATGGCAAATACTGCGTGGTTTCTCACTTGATACGTTAACATATATGTAAGGCAGGATGGATTTAATTTCTAATTACTCATTCCCTCAATTTATTTATTTGTATATATCTTTCTGGTATTTTTGCAGTATTACCAGGTATACCAGTTGCTCAAATGGCGATGACAGCAGCACCAACAGCAGCGCCAACAGCAGCACCAACAGCAGCGCCAACAGCAGCTCCAACAGCAGCGCCAACAGCAGCAACATGACCGGATTTCTAAGGTAAATTTGTCTTCTATTTCACTATATAGTAAATTTATTCTGCCACGAATAATGCAGCGCCCTCTTACAGACAGTGTCCTCCAGAGAATGGAGTGGTCATAGTGAGCGGAATATAACGACTAGAAATACGGGTTACATTTATTCGGAATGTTATATCAACCAGATACTACTTCATTTTTTAATTAGTTAGTCGAAAACATAAAATCAACAGGATTTCGGCACTTCAAGAGTTATCTGCCTGCTCAAAGAAAGTGCCACTCTCTCCGTACGTTACAGAACCCTTTAAAAACTCTTTGAGCGATGAGATCGCAGCTTGCTGCAAGACGAAATATTTACCTTTGTCCAAAATACTCTTATTTTCCCGCCCTTCATTCCTGTTGACTCACTTTAGATTGCCTACCTTTTATTTATTTTGTTTATTTGTTCTTGTTCTGAATAGACATGAAAAATTAGGTACTGGAGATTAAACGAACAACAATCAATCAATCAAGTGTTTTTTTAGCTCACCTGGCCCAAAGGGCCAAGTGAGTTTTTCTCATCACTTGGCGTCCGTCGTCCGTCGTCGTCCGTCGTCGTTAACTTTTACAAAAATCTTCTCCTCTGAAACTACTTGGCCAAATTAAACCAAACTTGGCCACAATCATCATTGGGGTATCTAGTTTAAAAAATGTGTCCGGTGACCCGGCCAACCAACCAAGATGGCCGCCATGGCTAAAAATAGAACATAGGGGTAAAATGTAGATTTTGGCTTATATCTCTGAACCCAAAGCATTTAGAGCAAATCTGACAAGACAAGGGTAACATTGTTTATCAGGTCAAGATCTATCTGCCCTGAAATTTTCAGATGAATCTGACAACCCGTTGTTGGGTTGCTGCCCTTGAATTGGTAATTTTAAGGAAATTTTGCCGTTTTTGGTTATTATCTTGAATATTATTATAGATAGAGATAAACTGTAAACAGCAATAATGTTCAGCAAAGTAAGATCTACAAATAAGTTAACATGACCAAAATAGTCAGTTGACCCCTTAAGGTGTTATTGCCCTTTATAGTCAATTTTTAACCATTTTTCGTAAATTTTTGTAATCTTTTACAAAAATCTTCTCCTCTGAAACTACTAAAACAAATTTAACCAAACTTGTCCACAATCATCATTAGGGTATCTAGTTTAAAAAATGTGTCCGATGAACCCGCCCACTAAACAAGATGGCCGACATGGCTAAACAATAGTACATAGGGAAAAAGGCAGTTTTTGGCTCATATCTCTGAAACCAAAGCCTTTAGAGCAAATCTGACAGGATAAAATTGTTCATTAGGTCAAGATCTATCTGCCCTGAAATTTTCAGACAAATCAGGCAACACGTTGTTGGGTTGCTGCCCCTGAATTGGAAATTTAAAAAAAAATTTGCAGCTTTTGGTTATTATCTTGAATATTATTATAGATAGTGATAAACTGTAAACAGCAATAATGTACAGCAAAGTAAGATCTACAAATAAGTAAACATGACCAAAATTATCAATTGACCCCTGAAGGAGTTATTGCCCTTTATAGTCAATTTTTTACAATTTTCATAAATTTTGTAAATTTTTGTAAATTTTTACAAAATATTTTCCACTGTAACTACTGGGCCAAGTTCATTATAGATAGAGATAATTGTAAGCAGCAAGAATGTTCAGTAAAGTAAGATCTACAAACACATCACCATCACCAAAACACAATTTTGTCATGAATCCATCTGTGTCCTTTGTTTAATATGCACATAGACCAAGGTGAGCGACAAAGGCTCTTTAGAGCCTCTAGTTTATGTAGTAAATGATGAAACGGTCACATAATAACGTTGTATTTGATGCTTCTTGTTTTTTTGAAAGAATAGAAGGATGTGTTCGTGTACCGATAACAACAGCTACAATGTACATGTATGGAAGAAGACTTCTTAGCTGGCCAGTTCTTAAAAAATTAGGCAGCTCCCAAATGTATCTTTGTATCAGACGTAATTCATAACTTAATATGAAGCTGCAAGCACTGTTTTTATCAAGATGGTCCTCAATGAAGGCAGTGTTAATGACATATTGTTTTTGTTGATAAGGCATTAACATATTTATCGGAGTATTTTGGAATTTTGATTAAAGAAGATTTATTCAAATTTCATCCAGCTTAATTCAATCCAGTAACAAATATGTGTACTGTTATAAAGAAACGATCACGTCTGCCTTCGCTCCTTCGTAACATAATGAAAAACACTCAGAAATAAAGCTCGATTCGAAATATTCAGAAATCTTCTGATTGATTTAGTATCGAACATCTAGTGAGAAGTTTAGTAAGCTATAAAACCAGGTTTAATCCACCATTCCCTGCATTAGGAAATGCCCGTACCAAGTCAGGATTATGACAACTGTTTTCCGTTCGTTTGATGTGTTTCAGCTTTTGATTTTGCCATTTTATAAAAGACTTTCCGTTTTGAATTTCCCTTGGAGTTCGGTATTTTGTTATTTTACTTTTTAGTAGAACTGTGCAGAGGAATAACCGTTATGATTTGTTAACTCTACTCTCCCTTTGACAATTATTCTATACATCCGAACGGGGTTATGATGTCTCCATTTTATATATGAAATTAAAAGAAAAAATATACCGGTATTTTGAATTAATAAAATACAAACGAGACAGGACAGGGGATGATATGAAAAATGTTGCACCCCTCCACCAATATTTATATCTTTATGATATATATTTACCCATCTCTTTTGTTATTTTTCTACAGGGATCTGGATGCGGGGAGGGGGGGGGTGTCCTTTTTTTTTTTTTTTTATAATTTTGATACCTTTTTTCTCTATTTTGTTCTATTCCTTATATTTTAACACCCCTTTATTCCCTATTTCTTTTATTTCTATTTTTTGCCTTTTTTTTGCCTATTCTTCTTTTGTTCCTTTATTCTACACTTTTTGTCAATTATTCTCTATTCTGTTAGCCACATTCTGGCCCTCTTCCATCTGTAAAATATACGTTTGATAAGAGATGTTCAAGCGGCTAAATCGTCAAAACTGTATCAAATTTACATCATAGAGTTGCCATTTAATATAAAGATTTTAAGGGTGCTATCGTTCTATACATGAGGATCTTATTAGGGGTCTTCGTTTCTGTATCCCTTAATTTTTATGCCATTTTTATCTATTCTTTATTATTTATTTTTTTGGCTGTTATTCTCTATTCTTTATTATTTTGTCCATTTTCTGAAGTCTTGGCGCATCATTCTCTATTTTGAATATCCCATCTAGACCCTTATATATATCCGAACAAATAAATTGTGTTTTGTAGCTTACAATGTGGTGTGGGTTTTGTTCATTCTTGAAGGCTGTACGGTGACCTTTTTAGTTGTTTAAATCCATGTCATTTGGACTCTGTTGGGTATTGTTTTCTTCTCATTTGAAATCCTACCACGCTTATTCTTTATTATTAAGAATTTGAGGGTGCTAGATACGGTCTTGTCTTTCTTATACGTTTATAAAAAGGCATCGAATAAAGGGATAAACTCGACTATTTGAGTTGTAAAAATCAATTTAAGGACAGAAAATTCAGTTTCCAAACAAATTATAACTGATTCAGGCATTAACCTTTTGGAAGACCACTTTCATTGCATTTCCGTCAAAAACTTTGGTTTTAGTGAACACCATTCGTGCGTTTAGTGGCATCGTTACTTCCTTCCCATATTGAGCGAGCGGTTGAAAAAATATGATGCTATAATATACGAATTATTCGGCAAATTAAATTCTTTTAATTGATAATCAGCACTGCTGTCATTAGGGAATTGTGATTAAGTACCTACGGAACAAACATTATTTCTAGTGTATCCTGCATAATGACGATCACGAAGACGCTTGATGAACTTTAATAGTGCAGGGATACAGGCGTTCCCCTCTATCTGCTAAATTACGTCATAAAGGCGCGCATAATGGACGAACTTTTCCGGTGAAGGACATAACTCCAAAGTGGTCTTTTGACGCGACTTCTCATATGTACTTGATTCACATAACTGTGCGATTGTGATTTTGATAGGCAACATGTCTCATATATGCTTTTGTTCTTTTTCAGATTGGTGTTTTCCTTTTGTATCATTTTGTGTGGTGTGTTCCCAACGTGTGCCAAATAAATTATCTTGAAATATAAATTGTATGTTTTAATAAATGTATTTGATTTAGGGTCTATACACATTATACCAATCTGCTTGAAATACAGATCATGCATGTGTTCACGCTTCGTTTACAAGGATCTCACAACAATCTGTTTTACTTTCTGTTCTGGTAATTATCACACCAGCCAATGACATTTTTTTCCTTCAAATATTTTAGGGTGTGCATTATTACGACAAAATCAGAGAATCCCGAAAGGTCTTTAAAACAAAAAGTAGAAGGGAACATTGACATTGTCAGATCCTTGGCCACAGGATCTGTTTTTAATCCGATGGTCGTTAAACTCTCTTTGCAATGGTGAAAGGTGTATTTGTATTTGATATTTGATATACCATTTAAAAACATTTTCTTTCCATGTTTAAGTGTTATATTTACAAGCCATACAAGTGTGAGGTTCGACCCACCATTTTTTTCTTAAAATGTCCTGTACCAAGTCAGGGAAATGGCCATTGTTATATTATAGTTAATTTCTGTGTGTGTTACATTTTAATGTTGTGTTTCTGTTGTGTCGTAGTTCTCCTCTTCTATTTGATGTGTTTCCCTCAGTTTTAGTTTGCAACCCGGATTTGTGTTTTTCTCAATCGATTTATGAATTTCGAACAGCGGTCATATCCAGAAATCAACGCCACTTTGCTTATTTGAATATTATACTAAAGAAATCGGATACGGATGGAAATTATATTGAAATGATAGGGAATTTAGAAAAAATGTCTGTTTTAACTTTGATTTAAGTGATAGACAGGTTGCCGGGGCAGAAAATAAATATACACAACAATATGCACCATTTAAACGAAATATAATGAC